AACCGTTTAGGGCATAACTGTATTTTCTTGTTCTAATATAAAAAAATCTATTTCCTTTTTTGGAGCTTCTTGCCCCTCTCATCTCTCATATAACATTTCCATTGAGGTATAGTAGGTCATAATTTTTTATCCTAAATCATGTCTTCATATTACAATATCATTTAAAAGTTATGCAAATTTAAATTTTCTAAAACACAATTGTGTTTTACCAAAAACATTATAAAAATAATTACTATAATATATTCTTTAGTCTACCACTTCTGTGGGAAGATATAATAGTTTTGTAATTTGTCATGAAAATACAGGTAGAAGTCATTGGGATACAGGTGACTCATAGTATCTTTTTTATTTACCTTCAATCCTAATATCCTGAAATCTCTTACATTGTATAGGTTCATAATTTTCCTTTTTGCCATCTGAGTATATTTGTTACCAGTTATTTAAAAAAAGAAATTCTGATTTTCTTAAATAGGGACACTAGGGTATTTAAAAATATAGGACTCCTAGAATTTCAAATTATGGTAAATATGCCCTTTGAAATTTTATTTAATATTGAACACATTTAAATATTGTTAGTATTATTATTCATCTTTAGCTATAGTGGTTTTGTTATTGGACCTGTAATTTCTTAGAATTCTGAAAAATATGGAAACAGATATGTACTGCCTTAATATCATATCAGTCTACTTTACTAAAAACGAATTATAAATGTCAGAAAAAAACAACCAAATTAGTCTCAAAATGGAGTAAAATCCTATATAATAAAAGGGTAATATGCAAATTGACCCTAAAAGCAGAACGACTGGGAATGACTGGTCACTATGACACACACTGACCACCAGGGGCAGATGCTCAATGCAGGAGCAGCCCTTGGTGGCCCGTGCACTCCCACAGCGGGAGCTCTGCTCAGCCACCAGCCATGCTGATGGCTGCCAGTACAGTGGTGGTGGTGGGAGCCTCTTCTGCCTCCTTAGCAGCGCTAAGGATGTCCAACTTCAGTTTAGGCCTGCTCCCCGCTGGCAAGTGGACATCCCCTGAGGGCTCCCAGGCTGCCAAAGGGATGTCTGACTACCAGCTTAGGCCCAATCCCCTGGGAAGTGGGCCTAAGCCAGCAGGTGGTCATCCCCAGAGGGGTCCAAGACTACGAGAGGGCACAGGTCAGGCTGAGGGACCCCCCCCGAGTGTACAAATTTTTGTGCACCGGGCCTCTAGTTAGAAATAATTAAAGAATAATATTAAATATTGATGCTATTAAAATTTTTCTCAAAAGTGAAGAATAATTTCTGGAGATTCATATACTTTTTATATTGTCTGGGTTCCACAAAGTTAGCTCAGAAAAGATATTGGGATCATTGAGTCCTGATACTTTATGATGCTCTTTTATTTTTATAGTACATTCATTTACTTCCATTTGCCAATCTATCCAATAATGATGTTAGGACTTTTTTTTTTTTTTTTAAAGAAAACTACAGAACATTTAAAAAAGTTAGTCTGACTTTCGGAGGAATTTTGGCCAAAAAGTAAGAGCTTTTATTTCTCCTTGCTAAGCTTCACATTAATTATTAGGTTCTTTTCATGATGGAGTGAGTAAAATGTTTAAAACTGAGGGACAGACATCATTCAAAAGGTTTTTCCACAAAGGCATTTTTTTTAAATATATTGTATTGATTTTTTACAGAGAGGAAGGGAGAGAGAGAGAGAGTCAGAAACATCGATGAGAGAGAAACATCGATCAGCCGCCTTCTGCACATCCCTCACTGGGGATGTGCCCGCAACCCAGGTACATGCCCTTGACCGGAATCGAACCTGGGACCTTTCAGTCCGCAGGCCGACGCTCTATCCACTGAGCCAAACCGGTTTCGGCATCCACAAAGGCATTTATATTTTCCTCAAGATTACACATTAATAACTATGACTTCAAATGCTTTCTCCCCTTCCTGTTGTTTAAGTATTTCTCCTTAAGCTGTTTTGAACCTCCCACCCCCACACCACCTCTTAAGGAGGAAAGGCACATAAGGGACCAGCTAAGTTCAAGTTTGGGGGACACACTGGCCATTGCTTCTCTCCCTCTCCATCCTATGCTGAGGTGATTTATGGTGATAGTTTCTCTTTGCAACCTTTTCGTTTTCATTTTGGGGACACTGACAGGTAAACTTCATCCACTTTCTTATATAAATATTACATTGCATAATGAAAAAAATGATAATGATATAATCCAACTTATAAAGATTTATGCTTTTATTTCCTCTGCTTGTAACAAAAAATTAAATGATTCCATGGAAATGGAAGGTCTTCATTGAATCTTCTCTTAGACAAGTTACTAGCTCCATGTTCACCAATGGAGGAGTCATAATCACAATGAAGTTGACCCAAAAGTTGTGAAGCAGAACTGTTTAAGGACCTTCACAACTCTTATCACTTGGAAAGAGATAACTGTAATATTCTTGTTCTTTTAAAAATTAAATTCTTTATTGTTGAAAAGATTACATATATCTCCTTTTCCCCCCATTGACCTCTCCCCAGCTGCTCCTGCCCCTTAGCACATGCCCTCGCCCACCTACTGTCTGTGACCATTGGTTATGCTTATATGCTTGTATACAAGTCCTTTGGTTGATCTCTTACCACACCCCCTCCGTCCCCACAGTATACTTTAAGGCATTGAAAATCTTTGTGTTTGGCCAAAGCAAAATGAGAAAGGGGGCTGATGTTCTTCATGCTCTATAACATCATAGAATTAGAGGGAAAAATGACACTCAGACTGCAAAGACCTCACTTGTGAATTATAAATTGACTACTAATTTGTATAAATCTGCCTTGTTGATTTTACCTTATTTCTCATTCCATCTCATATTATTATTCAAGATTAAGAGGATTTAGCAATGAGTCTCTCTCTCTCTCTCTCTCTCTCTCCCCTTAGCACATGCCCTCGCCCACCTACTGTCTGTGACCATTGGTTATGCTTATATGCTTGTATACAAGTCCTTTGGTTGATCTCTTACCACACCCCCTCCGTCCCCACAGTATACTTTAAGGCATTGAAAATCTTTGTGTTTGGCCAAAGCAAAATGAGAAAGGGGGCTGATGTTCTTCATGCTCTATAACATCATAGAATTAGAGGGAAAAATGACACTCAGACTGCAAAGACCTCACTTGTGAATTATAAATTGAT